TGAACAAAAGACCTGAATTCTATCTATAAATATCCTTTTCTCAAAGTTCATAGAATTTCCAGAGGCATTAGGACTTAGGTACACTTAAGCACACTTTAGACTTAGGCCCAAAAGAAAAAGCATTTGGGTGCCAGGGGGATAATAAAGTTATTGTTGTTGTTAGGTATTGTTTGGTGCCATCTCTTGAGTACACCCAAGCCACAGTCTGGTGTCAGCAGGGTCCTCAGGCTTGGGTGGGTCTGAGGAACATCAAGGGCATCCAGGAAGACATCCCAGCCACAGTGCAATGCTGGTGGCCAAGCACCAGCACCAAAGACCCAGATGACTCTGTCTGGGTCAAACACTGCCAATATCTCCAATCAGGACCCCATCCTGTCACATTGCTATGGACCTCAGCTAGGGTCAGAAAAGGGTGTCTTGTACCAAGATACTTGTATGCCTGATTGTCTTTATAGTTTGCTATTAGAGAGAGGTATAATACCTGTCAGTTCACTATATTGGGAAATGATTCGCATGTTGCCCATTATTTTATATTTTAGGTACAGGTACATAGGCTGGTGTGTTTATTATTTGCTCCTATTACTATAGCACTTGCCTGTCTGTCAGCTGTTCTGGCACAGCTTGTGGGATGCTGTAATGCTAAAAGCTATGTCACCAGTGTATGGAGTACCAGAAGGGTCACCCATGGTGGGCAGGTTGCAGTGGAACTCCTAAATTAAGATAGACTAGGAAGGAGGATTGGCCATCCACTTCTGGAACAATGAACCATTGAAAACCCTATGAACAACAGAGGAATGTGGGTAGTTGTAGCATTAAAGGTAGAGAGCCCAGATGAGAAGTCACTTAAAAATGAGGAGAAAATGAATAAACAACCATTAATAAGTGAAACTTGGAACATACAAAGTATGAAGGTAGGAAAACTGGAAGTTGTAAAAATGAAACGGAACACATGCATTTTGACATTGTAGGCATCAGTGAACTGAGATGGACTAGCACAGGCCACTTTGAATCAGACAATAAAGCTATTGCTTGACAGAATTACTCATTCCTCAAGAATGCAGGAGGCTTAGAAGTTCCTGGGGTGGCTATGAAGGTGGCTGCTGCCCTGGTGTCTCAGCTTTTTCCATGTTCTGCCTCTCTGAGGAAAGATACAGGAAACTGAGTCACCAGGGTTAGGCCCCAACTCTGCCTTCCTCCTTTTCTCTTCCTCTTTTTCATCTTTGCTCTTCTTTCTAAAATAAGCTCTAGGGGCTACAGTTCAACAAGGAGGAGCTTCCCTGCCTGTCTCACCCTCATCTTTGGCTGGGCTCAACCCCACTAAGGAGCAAGCAGGGCAAGCGAGCAAGTCTCGGTGATAGCAGCAAGAAGTTACAGCTGCAACAGCAGATATACAGACAGAAAGGCAAGAGGAGCAGATACAGATACGTGAAAAGGGCAACACCCATGAACAGATAGATGTAGGTTGGGCATATTTCTACCTTCATATTAGTATATGTTGTCAACACAAACTTGTTTATTTATAGTAAGAGGGTAATGCTTTATAAGCATCTAATCATAACCAAAAACCTGGAGAACATGAGTTGCTGACTCCAGAGAGTTGAGACCATAGGCCTGGGGGCATTAGGGTCAATTGAGATAACACAGTCCAGGAAGACATGGCTCCACAGTCTACTTTGCTGTATAGTGCCTGGGGTCTTAAAAAAGCAGCTATCTAAAGTACAATCAGCAATTTTTTTTTCCTTGTTTGGAACAAAGAGGAGGGAAGAAAAGCAAAAATGTACTGTGACTCAATGGCATGTAACAACATAGGACTAATGGACCACTTGGACAGCAATTTCATGACACCGAGACCAGAAGAACTAAATGGCACTTAGCTACCACCATTGATCATACTAAAAGGGATTGTAGTAGAAGATCTTGGATAGAAATGAGGGGGTAGAGGGGAATGTGGAACAAAACTAAAAAAACATTAAAAGGCCAGGGATCCAGCTCCATTAGAGATTGGTGGGAATCCCTGAGATTACAGCTCTTAGCCATCTATCAGACCTAGAACAAAACTCACTTCCATGGTTCAACTTCTAACCCACCATGGACAAGTCTGTGGGGATAACCAGTAACACTGGGGAGTTATTTACTCCTTAGAGTAACCGAGGAGATCAAGTCAAAGGAGTGGCATTTTCCTAAGGGTAGAGCCCTGAAGACAGGAAGAAATAGGATGGCAAGATTAATGGAAATGAAAATTATAGTTAGGGAATAGGAAAAGTGAGATTGCATTACAGGTAGTGTAATTAATGGAACATGTATGAATGATTGAATGAAAAAAAATCTATATGCTTTGTAAACTTTCAGTCAAATCCCAATAAAAAGAAAATAAAACTAGTGCAGGAGAGGAGATGACAGTTGATAAAAGGGGAGGAAAACAAAACAAAACAAATAAGAAATAGGACAACTACTTTTTTTTTTCCTTTTTATTATTTTTGTGTCCGTGTACCGTCAAATCAGATCTGACTGGTACAGGAGGAGATTGCCCCTCCTTCCCCAGCAGAGCATCTGGTGGATTCGAACCGTGCACCTCTGAGATTGTAGTTGCAGCTTCTTGCCACTAGGCCACCAGAGCTCCCCAGACAACTACTTTTATAAAACAGAACTGACATGGGGGTTGGGGGTTAACAAAGAAAAAAGGGGATAAATAGTGAACACTGCATTGGAACAGATGAAGGAAATAACTATTTAAAAGGAATATATTAATTGGCATTATTTTTATGATAATAGTCCAGAATAAGAAGTATATAGCAAAGTGGTCTGGTTAGGGGAGGGGGAAGGAAGGAAATTATGCAACAATGAATGTATTTTTTTTTCTTTTAAAAACATGAACTGGTGGGGCAGGGAGGAAAATGTGCAGCAATGAACGATTGGAAACCCAAGTTCTTTATAAACTTTCATTAAAATCTCAATTGAAAAAAGTAAACTCAGGGAGAGAGGGGTGTGCAGGGAGAAAAGTACAATGAATGGATGGAAATCCTCAGTCTCTGTAAACTTTCATTAAAATTAATAATAATTAAAAAATGTAAAAAGTGAACTGGGGTGGGTAGGGAGGAAAATGTGCAATTAAGAATATATGAAAACACAACTTTTCAGTAAACTTTCATTAAATTTAAAAAATAGGGGGAGGGGAAGAGAACAACCACTTAAAAGCCTTTTCAACATCATCTATGGAGCAAACATCCCAAGAGTGTCATGCTATGACCTCTATTCAAATCCACGCTCCACCTATGCCATTTTGCAAACCCTGACCAGATATGTGCTCTTGATCAGGTCCAGAATGTGATGCTGGATGCAGAGGGGTACGGGGTCTTGTCTCTGCTGCAGAGAAGTTCACAGTCTTCCAAATGTTCAATCCCCTTGAGAAAATTTAGGGGCACATAGAATTCATTTTGATGATGGTAAAAAAAAATAATTTCTGTTTGTTTACTCACATTTTAATAAAATAAACCTACCTTTCAAAAAAGAAAAAAAAAGAATTCATTTTACAGAAATGAAACGAAACACTGTACATCCTAAGGCTAAGTCTCATTTATCCAGAAGCCTTTCTTTGCCAGAATGGCACTTCCCCTGGTGTCATCAGGTAAAGGTGATACTTGAGTATTTAGATGAGTTTCAGAGAGTGTAGGGAGGATAACACCATTGGTACATCAGTCACGGTCCCTTTTGGGGTCAGGAGTAGAAAAAGGGAAAATGTACATGAGTGATAATCACAGTGAAGGCAGCAGAGTCCTGGGGGTGACAAGTCTACACTCTGGAGCAGGCAGAGCTGCACTCGGATACTGTCATTCACCATCTCAATCCTTCTGGCTCTTTGTTGCATTTTTTTAATTATTCTCTATAAAATGAAGATAATAATGATTTTTATTCCATAGGGTTAGAGGAATTGAATGTACCCAGCTCATGTTAGCTGTTTGGATTCTCCCTTCCCCTGACTATTTTACTTAGTAAAGACTTTAAAAGTAGCTGGCCATGCTTGTTTTGCTTTTCTAGCCAAAGCAATCATCTTCAGGCTGATGATTCTGAAGACACCAGTGAGCTCCTTATCCTCTGAAAACCCTTCCCAGAGATCCCTACAGCCCCCAAGCCTGGAGAGTCGGCCCCTCCAGGGACTCAGGATACCCTGCCCAGGCCTGCTCTGACCTCATCTGCTTTGCATGGTAATCACTGATGAGTCTGTCACCTTCCTTAGCTGGCTAGGATGTTCCTTGAGGGCAGGGACCAGGACTGAGTCATCTGTTTTCCCCAGTTGTCTGCTTTGGAGTGGGCAGCTGACAGCTGACAGTATTTGTGGAATGAAAAGAAGGGAAGAGGAAGGGAGAGGTGTCACCAACAGCTCACAGTTCATTGGCTGAACCTCAGGCTCCAAATCCCTGGCAGTTAATATACCTACTGGTCAAGGGCTGGTTGCTGTCTAATACATAATAGTATGTGTGTGAGCAGACGAGAGTGTATGTTTATAAGCTGGTGCACATGTCTGAGTGTGTACAGGTGTTTTTGTATGTGACTATATATGTGTGTGTACACATGTAGGCATGGATAAGTATGTGTGTGAATATGTATGCACAAAGTGTGAATGTGTGTGAGCACATATGAGTGTATTTCTGTGTACAAATGCATATGTGTTCACAGAAGAAAACAAAGATCAGAGTCTTTGTTTTGTTTGTTCTTGGATCTTGAGCTCTGAAGCATCTAGCCTTCAAAAATTACTATTTTGAATGTCAAATGAATATGACATGACACAAGATGGGAGGAAGGCATAATGGAACAGGAAAGTGGCATAGTGAGAGAGTAGTAGGGGCTTAGGAATTAGAACAGTGGTGCTTCCACTAAAGTCTGTTTTTTCAATAGTACTATGCATATAGATAGTAAAACTTCTACATTATAGGGTGGTTTAAGAGGTTAGAATCATATGTGACATATAAAAAGCATGCAATCGGCACTGTCGTCCAGCCGCCATGAAGGCCCTGGTGCAGCGGGTCACCTGGGCCAGCGTCACAGTTGGTGGTGAGAAGGTCAGCGCCATTGAAAAGGGCCTCTGTGTGTTGCTGGGCATTTCTCTAGAAGATACACAGAAGGAATTGGAGCACATGGTCCGAAAGATTTTAAACCTTCGTGTGTTTGAGGATGAAAATGGGAAACACTGGTCGAAGAGTGTGATGGACAAACAGTATGAGGTGCTGTGTGTCAGCCAGTTCACCCTCCAGTGTGTCCTCAAGGGGAACAAGCCCGACTTCCACCTGGCCATGCCTGCAGAACATGCTGAGGGCTTCTATAATCGATTTCTGGAGCAGATGCGGAAGGCTTACAGGCCGGACCTCATCAAAGATGGCAAGTTTGGTGCCTATATGCAAGTCCACATTCAGAACGATGGGCCTGTGACCACAGAGCTTGAGTCTCCGGCTGCCGGCACCACCACCTCTGATCCAAAGCAGCTGTCAAAGCTGGAAAAACAGCAACAGAGGAAAGAGAAGACCAGAGCCAAGGGACCTTCTGAATCAAGTAAAGATAAGAATGTTCCTCGGAAAGAGGACCGCAGAGCCAGCAGCGGAGCAGAAGGGGATGTGTCGTGGAGCGGGAGCCATAGGAGCCGGAGCCGTAGAAGGTGGTCGGGGACTCAGTGCATGATCATTGGCAGAAATGGATCCTGAAAAATTTCATGAAAAATGTTCGGCACCTGCACTATTAAAGGATTTGGAACTGAACCATGGCAAAGAAGATTGAAATAAGAAGTTGGGAACCTGAGTAACTCTGCACCAAAGCAGCCAACAGAACATTAACATTTTCTTGGTTATCATTGC